TTTCCAGATATTGATACAGCTCATTGCCTCGTTTCCATCTGTTCTCTACTAATGTGTCCCATCCTCTCCTAAAAGGTTTTTCTTTTTTTTCTGCCTCAGTCCTTTATCTCATTTGATGCCATACTTTATAAAAATAAAGGACACTTCATGGCACTTATCACTGACATTTTATTACTGTGTGCATTTGTTTTCTGTTTGTTTATCAGCTGCCTCACCACCATATGTATGCTCCACGAGGGCAGATCACTCATTTTGTTTATACTTGCAGCCCAGTGCAGGGCTAAGCTGGGAACTTCGGAGTATCTTAACGAGTGGCTCTCTTCGCTTTGCTGCTCCTGCTGGTGCTTTCAGAGGAATAGAATGTCTAGAGGATGTTCCATTGCAGTCCCTGCACCCCTGTTACTGGCCTAAATCCTGTCACAGCTAGAGCTCAGCTGACACCAGGTGGGAGACAATCGATGATAAAGCCCAGAACGCGCCTCACTCTGGAGCCAGACTGAATGGATCCATGCACCAGCTTTAGCATCCACTGACGGTGTACTTTGAGTTACTCAACTTCTCACAGTTTCTCCATCTTTAAAATGGGATAGTAAATATCCATCTCACATAGGTCTATTGTGAGGATTAAATCAATACATTAATTGTAAGTGATCAACACATAGCAAGTGCTAAATACACCTTACCCGCTCACCTCTGAGGACCTCTGTGAGTAAGCTTTACTTGCTGGGTACCTCTCCGGAGTGTGTCTGCCCCGGGGAAGTCCTTTAAAGTTCTCTACTGGCCTCGTCTGCAGCTCTTTTCTGTTCCTCTGTCCATTTTGTAAGAGCACATCTGGACTGTCTGCGTGCTGCCCCAGGTTCTTCATCTGCTCTTGTTTCCCACAGAAGAGGAACCCCCTGGGTTTTAAGACAGTATTATCAACCTGCTTCTCTTCCTGTCAAATCCCAAGAGAAATCTGATGTTATTCTTAGCCTGACTACCTGAGAAAAGTCAGCTCTGGAGCTGACTCCAGGGCAGGAGAAAGAAAAACCTCCCACAGAGGAGATAGCTTTACATATAAGCCCCAGGACACTGACAGTAAAGGACGCTTTGGGGGCCTGTGGGACTGAGCAGAGAAAGAAGAGAAGGTAACTCGTTAAGGAAGGGAAGAGAAATGAAGGTGTCAGGAAGAAAGCCCCCTGAGACCCTCACGGCCACTCTGCTGTAAGCCTTTGAGACATGGGTCTCCTTAATCCAAGTACTGTGTTTTACACACTCCCTCCACTTAACCTTACCCCACCCGAGACCACAACTTTGGATAAAGTCATGAATTGCAAACACAGGGAACTTCAATTGCTAATTTCAGGGAAATTCAGTTCCATTAATATTTACTGAATGCCCACAAGGTGCTGGACAGTATTACTGGCCAGTCCCAGGAATCCTGGCAACCTACAATCCACAGTCACATCTCAGAAGAATAGCCCTGCTTGTCTCTGAACATCCTCTTTTCCGAGGAGTCCGCTTCTGGGTTCTGATCCTTGCAAAACACCAGCACTTCTTCGTATTAGGGCTCCCACTGGGCTCCCAGGGGCCTTCTGGAAACGCTGAAGGATTAAGGGGCGGGGAGTGGGGAGGGCTGGGGAGGTAAGGTAGGAAGGAGGGCGAAAGAAGTAGGTGCGTTTCTCCTTTCTAACCGTGTTCCCATCAGGAGTCGCCCGTGTTCCCAGGCGCCAATTCCAGCCGACCAGACTCTTCCAGGAACCGCCTGGCACCCTGGGCCGTGGACTTTGGCCGCTCTGGCTTCAGCGGCTCCCTCCTCCCTGCGCCTCCTCCCTCCAGGCTCCAGCCTCGCTCAGGGGCGTGTTCTGCCCTACCTCCCTCTCACAGGGGTCCACTCATCCATCCGGTGACAGCGGCGGCGGGGGG